ATCTCGTGGGGACAAGCAGAAAACAACATTCCGTAATTTTGGCAAGAAGAAGAAAAAAAATCTCCAGATCATTTTACTCGTCCCTATTGTGAAAGTTTTCATGTCACAAAATTTTACACTGTGGTTATACACCAATATCAAGCCATGAAGTTCTGCATCTTCAAACTATATGATAATTTCTGAGAATTCGCCCAATGCAGGAGGAACGCAAACGACCCCAGAGCTCCAGCTTTCAAGGGAAGCTAAGGAGAACAGAAAGTGCTTGGATCTCTTGAAACCCAACACAGCAGCTTCACTGAGATACCATATTCGTTTCTGGTTTCCTCATAAACTGTACTATTAACCCAGGAGTGGCTCAGAGTGTTGAAGCACCAAGCCCATTTTGGATGAAAAAACAAAGGAAACCAGCTATCTCTTGGTTGCGACAGTCTTTATTTTTGGAAGGAGGCTGCTGGACTCACACATGCGCCCCAGTGGTGCTTGAGCTGCACCCTGTGTCAGATTTGACCCTCTATCAGCGAAAGCAGGTGGCATCCTCCTTTAAGGTTAAAGCTATAGGGGAGGGGCTGTGCATGCTCAGTATCAAACCTAGGTCTTGTTTTCCTCAGGAGCTCCCGTTTTTTCCCCAGTGGTAAGTCAAACCTGGGTGTTTTGGCTTTAGCCCTTTCTAAGAAAGATTATTTGCACTAAAAGGTGGCATTTTGGGTGAGAAGTGTTGCTGTATTGCAATAGTTGAGTTTAATAGTTTTCTGTAATTTTTTTCCTGCTGTGGAAAGTAGTTAGGGGTTGTTTTGTTTTGTTTTGTTCCTTTAATGCCTTTGATGTGAAGGTGGAAAGGGGGTAAATGTGGTGAAGACTGGAAGCATGTGCTTAGACTGAGTAGTGGGAGCAGAAATGTCTTGTTTTCTCTCTAGTTTGCCACCAGTTTGTGGTCATGCTGGGCCAAGCAGTCGGGGCTTCATTTCCTCCAGTGTTGGGACCTTCGCTTCCAGAGAAAGTCAATTGTAGTGCAGATAGGTTAAAGCTTATGAGAATCAAATTCTGTGCTTGCCAGGATTATTTGGTTTGGCTGTTGGTTTTTGGAAGGGTGGGTTGCTTTCTTTTGTTTGGTTGATTGGTTTTTTGTTGGTTTGGATTTTTTTTTTGGTTCAGTTTAATATTCACAGCCTTCTGGAAGACTCTGAAAGTGAGTGCTGTGTGGACACGGCTACGGGGGCATGTGTCTCTCATTGCTGTATTTTGCAGAGATCTCGCTCATCAGTGAGATGGCAAAGGGGATCAGCTGGGACACATCCCCAGTGAGGGGGCTGTAAGGCAGCTCTTCTGGGGGAGTGGTCAGGAGGCAGCAGAATAATCAGTGTGTCTTGAGGCTTCAGCCCACCTAGTTAATCTGGAAAACTGCTTTCACCTGGAGTCTGGGCTGCTCTTGCTCCATCAAAATAAATAGGATGGAGCTGAGCTAGATCTTAGTGGGAGTGCATTGCTGCCTGAGACCTGGGAGTCAGTGGCTCAGGAGCAGCGTCCCAGCACTGCGTGAGGAAACACTGTGCTCTTGGTGAGGTCCCGCTTCTCGGAAAAGATTTAACTTGCTATTAATAATCCCCTAGTGGTTTTTGAAGGAGGGACTTGTGGATGCAATGTCCTATTCAGCTTGCAGTTTGATGGGGGCTGTAAATCCCCCTGTAGTTCCAGTCTGGTGTAGCCAGTGTTCTCTGCTTGTGAAAAGCAGCCTGCTAGCTAGTTCAACAGCTGATGCAGGGCCTTACCTTAAACAGAGACACACTAGACAAGACTTACTACTATGCATTGTTCTGTTGTAATCAGCAGTTTGGTATAAGAGCCAGTGTTCAGTAGTGCCATTTCCTGTGATGCCCTTTGGGAGAGTGGATGTGGCTAAAAGGGATGTTGCTTAAATGTCTGTTGATAAAAAAGTAGCTGGTTGGTAGAACCAATTTGAGCAATGCAAATGCTTGAAATCTTGAGTTTAACTTTAGGCACACTGATTATTTTACTGTAAGTAGAGCATTTGCTGATGTGGGAAAGGACAATTAACTAGAGTAGTGACATTTATGGATAGATTTTGCTTAGGCTTTAGCTGTTATTTTCCTGTGGAAATTCAGGCCCTTAGGTATATGTTTAGTAGACAGAGGCTGCTCCTTTGTGTTGAAGGCTGATAGAAGGAAATGGCACTAGGTTTAGGTTTTATTAAAATCACAGGAAAGAAGACAGTTTATCTTGTATGCAGCTTTGTGCTGACGTTGGTTTTCATGCAGCTTAACAGCCCTTTCCCACCTGAGAGCAGGATGCTCCAAACTGAGTAAAAAGCAATGCTCACTACCTGTCTAATGCCCACAGTATTATCACAGCTGCCTTGCCAAAGCTGGCTGCCTAATCCTGCTGCCTGCTTTGGAAATAGACTTGTACAGGTAGTAAAGGTTGCAGAGAGTGTTGAAGGAGTCTCTCAAATTTTGCTTCTGTGAAAGCATTAACCAGGAGACTTCTTGTGCATGGTATAGGGAAACATGCCTTTTTGGCTATCAGGTAGAATCTGATAATGCTTTTCTTAGAAAACAGTAAGCTAGGAGCTTGGCTGGGTGCAGGGATAAAAGTGAAACAGCTGGAAAATACTTCTATGGAGAAATTTGGAGTTGTGTTTGGTAGAGGGAAGTACCATCTGTGTCCTTAACTGGTGTTATCAGTGTGTGCAGCTAATACCTCCTGCCTCTCCTGCACTGCAGGCTGTGGGCACTGCTTGTTTTGGGGGAGGTTTATGGTATCGCTGCTGAATGAGACCACCAGGGCCAGAGCAGGCAGGGTGAACTGGGTTGCTTTGCCTTTTTGAGACCAAGATCTTTGTCCAGCAGTGAACCAAAGCTGGGGCATACCATGGCATGCGGGAATCAAGTTGCACCGAGACTTTTCAAAGGAAAGGTCTCTGAGGAAGGTCTGTTTTGTTATAACTATTTATCTGTTGAAGGTAGTTCCTGTTTATGCAGTAACAAGAAGTGTACAAGTCATGAGCAGTTATGATAAGTGGAAAATAATTGTTAGAAGTGACCACTTTGGTGGCTTGGGAGAACCTACTGTGGGGTTTCTCTGCCCACTCCTACGAGGTCAGGACTGAGTGCAGGGTATTGAGCAATGCCTGAGGTCTGTGGGTTTAGCGGCAGAGCAGGTTGCAGAGCATATGCTCCCCCACTGTGATCCTTCAAAGCTTGTGGTGGCATTGAGTTGCAGCTTATGTGGAAGGTTTTAGGCTAGATGTGATCTTCTGGGTTTCAGTGTGGCATTCTTGAAAGTGTCTTACCAGACTGAAAGCCTGAAAGGAGTAATTTCTGGTACTTTGTGGGATAACTGCTGTTCTCAGAGAATTTGTGATTATTCACATGTAGTGTGGATATGTGCTCACATCTGTGAGGCAGAGCTATTAGCTGTGACACTTCTGCATTTTATTTGTCTCTGGCTGTTCATGAGATTTTAAATGATGTTGGTTTTGGTTTTTTTTCATTACAAAAAGGATAAGCAACTGAAATGATACTTTCACCTATTTTGAGGCATGCCCAGCTTTGGCTCTGGGAGCTTAAGACACTTTGATTTCCATTAGCTTAGAACAATGGTCTGCTCTTTTCTAAGAGCAGGAAGTTCTGTGGACAGCAGAGGTGAGGAAAGCCCCACTTTTTGCAGACCGGAGTCATCCTCAAAACATAAGAGGTCACACAAATTAAGTAAAGAGAGCTAGATCCCTCTCTAACAGCAGCCAGAAGTAGATACTTCAGGAAAAGAACTGTAGTATGATCTTCCCTCTGAAACACTCTTTCTTAATTTTGGCAGTTTAATAAATTAGGGTCTTCCAGGCAATTTGTTTAGACCATTGTGTTAAACAGGACGAATATGTGCCAAATAAAATATCAGTCCAGTTCTCTTTGGAATCGAGTTATAACCGTGGCTCTCGCCACTGCTGTTTCCCTGGCAAGGAACATGGCCATTTGCTTGCATTGTGCTGAAATAACTCTTTCATATGAAAATTTTGCAGGATGCCCCCAACCCTGTAGCAGGAAAGGTGGTCACCTGCCTCATACTCTAATTAAAGTTGAACTGAGAGTTTTTGTCAACTGCAAATATACTCGAGAAATTCCTCCCGCTCTCCTTATATTCCTGCAGCCGTCAAGTATTTTGACATGGGTGTAAAAGCTGCTGTGTTTGAATTTAGAAATTGGCCAGTGGGATGAGAATGTGCAGCTGTGGAAAGCATGAGTGCTCCAGCTCTGTCACTGCTTCTCTTGGGTCCACCTATTTCTGTGAGGCTTGTGGGAGGTTAAGGGGATAAAAATGGCCAAGGTAATTAGGAGATCTGGTGGAAATCAGTGGGTCAGGCTCTGAAATCGTTGGAGGGGAGAAGGCAGAAGACAAGTAGAAAAATTTTTATGTGATGGAACTTATTTCCATGGAAAATAGAACAAAAATATTATTTATTATTATTTAAATTTAAAAAAAAAAATACTGGGTTTGAGACCTCAGCTGCAGTGGCTGGGTGTAGGAGAAGTTGCCTAATCATCCAAGGGCATGCCATTTAGAGAGGTAACCAGCCAGGGACAGTGAAATCACACCCTGCTTAGTTGCTTCACCTGCTGCAAAGACTACCTGCTTTATATGGGGAGTTGATTATTTTGGGGTAAAATGGAAAGTGGATTTTTTTTTTCTCTCTGGGATTCTTATGATGCAGCATCCCAGTGGATTCTGAGGGATATTTAACTTATTGGGAAGGTTGGCCAAATTCTCTCCCATCTAAATACAGCATCTGCAGCAGTGTGGAATGTGTGTTGTACAGCTGTGAATGTTCCAGGCATTCAGCATGTCTCCTTTTTCACACAATAGCTTCTATTTATGGGTTTTCATCAAGTTGTACTCATGCATTCAACTTGTCTTTGTGTGTGTGTTTTTCTTTTTTTCCTTTCTCCTTTTTTTTTTTTTTTTTTTTTTTTTTGCTTTTGTTTTTTAAGGTTTGTAGAAACTCCGAGCCCCTTCTCCTGGAAGGAGAGTTACTACCGATCAGCCATGTCCCAGGGCTCACAGCCGAGGGAATTCCTCAGCCCAGAGGTAATCCAGCATCTCTGGGACTTCCTGGAACAGTAAGTAGCCCTTATGTGGAATTTGTGAAAGGTGTTTTAGGACAGGATGCTCCAGGGATTGATGCTGGGGGTTTTGGAGCCTTATGTACCTGTTGATTAGATATGGATGTGATGATTAGATGTGTCAGTCTGTGGTGACTTACAGCTCTTGAACTCTCAAGAGGTTCCACATCCAGCCTATGGGGACCAAATGCAGTGATCAGCAGTGACACTGACTCTCTTCAAGACCTCTGGCTGAGCTGACTGCTTTCTAGGAAGTGATCACCTAAGGCACATGGTTGGCATTTTCCCCTAAGGAAATGGAAGGAGGTGAAGATGGTGCAGAGTTCACCCTCCCAGGTCCAATGAAGGAAATAAAACTGACTCTGTTCCCATTCCTGACTTGCCATGACTAATGCTAAAACAGTTACTGCTATAAATCCTCCATGAGTTCTGTCTTTCAGTGATTTAACTCTTGCACTCTTATCTCATCTTTCTGGTCAGGCAAGTGAAATGTCCCTCCAGGCCCTGTCCTGGTTTGGGGCTGCTGTAGTACAGCGGGTGAGGAGATAGTTGTTCGTTAGTAATAACTTACTTTGTCATGAGACTGGTTCGTGGTTATGCCGAAGTACTGGATGACACCCTAGCAGGAGGCATGGGAAGGGAAGGTGGGGTGGTGGAAAATGGAATTTGGCCAGTTTTAACTCTAGTACTGTGTTCTTTTCAGGCCAATATGCTCAGTTCAACCAATTGATTTAAACTTCATCGATGGCCCATCTGAAAATGGCTCTACAAACAAAATTGAGATTAGCATGGACTGCGTCCGGGTGCAGGACACGGAGCTCAATGACCCAATGTGGGTGAGTAGTGAGAGCTTCCTTGACCTTTGGGGAAACATGGAGAATTTTTGCAGGAGCTATTCCAGCTGTGTTGCCCCAGGTCCATCTTCCTCCCTTGGCTGACTCCTGACCTGCTCTCCTTCTCCTGCCACAGCAATGGCAGGAGAGAGGGATGAGGCAGCTAAGCTTGGCAGGAGAGCTGGGGAGTCTCTTTCACACACTACTCAACCATCCCTGCACTCTCCCTGCTTAGAGGTAGTTTTATGTGGCCTTGTTTGGGTTCTGGGCGCAGTCACAATTTTGCTGACCAAGGCCAGAGGTTCTTCACTGGTTTTTGTTCTCTTGAGGGTCATATAGGAGTGAAAATTTTTTTTCAGACCACAGTTGGGTTTTTTTCCTCCTGTTTCTCCAGACTAGAGAGTGTTTATATTGAGTCTTGGCCATGGGTGTCTCATCAGTATGGCTCAAGACTGGAATGCAGATGAGGCACTGGTGGTTGTTGGTTCATTGCTTTTGGCACAAACAGACTGACTCTTTCTTAGCAATAGCCCTACTGAAGAAGCCAGGTGCTGTTCTTGCAGGCTGGAGCAGGAGCTATTTTGAAGTTTGAGTTGTTCATGTCCTGTTTCTGTTCTTCCTGGGTTTTGTATACTTTAGGATAAAAATAATGTGTAGTTTGGAATTTGTTTTGGTGTCTGTAAATTTTCTTGTTCCACTGTTTCCATCCTGAGAAAGTGGTGCCATATGATTTCCTGGCTAATCAACCACAATTTTTAATGTGCCCAAAAATGGTATGTTGGCAATTTGAATCCTGGCAGTGTTTGTAACCTGGTGGATTGTGTCTGCAAGCAAAGAACTCCTGGGTCATGCTGACTGCAGTCCCCAATGACAGACAGTTTGATCTGTTAGTGCTACTTTGGTGTGACTGCTGGGGAGACTGCAGTGCTCTTCTTTTTCCATGGAGGTTACAAAGGGTTAAAAGGACAATTTGAGGTTGGGTATGTGCTCAGCTAATGTGGTGAAGCTAATCCAAGTGCACAAGGAGAGGTGACTGAAATTAAGTCTGGTTATCTTTTGATTCTGCATTTTTGGGGGCACAGAGGGGTGGGGTACAAGCCTTCCATCAGCATGTGGATCTCAGCTTTTTCCACCACTATAGCAAAGCTCCAGTGAAATGTTATCTCTTCAATGGGCCAAAGATTCTCCACGTTTACAGGGACTTCTGACTTTCAAAGTGCATAGTTATAGTCTGCTTGAACTATGTCCTCTTAAAAAACAATACCCACCAGTTTAAGGGTCATCAGCAGAAACTTTGCTCCTTCCACGCTCAAATCTGGACTTGTGGCACTGAGCACTAGTAAAGCCTCCCCATCTCCAGCTCCTCTGAGCTGTCTGCAGAGCACAGTGGTGGCTGACGGGCTCACTGAAGGCCTGTTCAGAGTCTCCCTCTCCCGTCTGTGGAGCAGAGAAACATGAATGAAAAGACCCTTTCCCCTGTCCTCTCTGAACCTTGCTGAAGTGAGCACTGATGCTAGGGAAGGGCACAAGCAGCTTTCTCTATGCAATAACCTCTTGCTTATGATGGGCTTGATCCCAGCCTTGTTGGAGGCATTTCTGGAGAGGCCAAGCTGTACGGTGACTTCTTTTTGAGAAGTGTTTTTCACTGACGTGACAAGCTGAAGGGGGAGCAGGGAAATTCCATCCTATCCTCACCCTTACTGTAAGGCACCAGCTTAGAGTACATTAATGTATGTACATTAACAAATGTTCCAGTTTGTCTCCAGTGGAAGACAGCACCTTTGCTCAGTTGAATGCTGGACAAAAGCCTTCACAAAGCAAAATATGCATCGCAAACCTGTGCAAACAGCCTGTCTTTTAAAATGAGGAAAGCTCTTTTTACTCCCCTTACCACCACCACCACCTCCCTATAAATTTGCAAACATCCCTGACAGGTGACAACTCCCCTTGCAGAGAAGTCTGTGTTTGCTTTGCTGTTTCTGGGGCTCAAAGCGGCTGCAGCTTGCGTTAGCAGAGAATGTGTAGCCCGAGGCAAGGTGTTTGCTTTAATCTGAAATACCTTACAACCCTCTTCCCCTCCAGCTTCTCTTTTCCTTTGGATAGCTTCAGGGCACGAGCTTTCCTTGCACCTGTCTCTCCTGTAACCTCAGCCATGTCACTTCTAGACACGAGGTGCTGCACGCAGCTGATTGCAGCAAAGGGTTGAAGAGGGCAGATAAACACAAAGGAATGCAGCAGAAACAGAGGGGCCCTGGGAGATGAGCACTGAGATCAAGGCAGAGGGCTTTATAGTATTACATTTGTCTTAAGAAAAGAGCAAGGCCAGCTTTTCTCCAAAATGTATCACCATGTGAGATTTAAATGGGTGCAAAGCAATTAAGACTGGTGTTTTTGAAGCAGTTGTCCTTGTGTAGACTTTGAGGCAATCCCAATCAGCCTTTAAAATAAGTTCTGCACCTTCTTTCAACTTACTTCTGAAAAATGAAACTTTCAGTCTTAAAAGATGTCCACCTTTGATCCCAACAGTTGTATTGGTAAGACCTGTGATTTTTTTTATTATTTTTTTTAATTTTATTTGTATTATTTAACTTTTGGGGGTACAGTTGTTTGTTCACAATAGAGTTGGCAGTGGGGAAGGAGCTATAGTATTCAGAACAGTGCCTGAAGAAACTGTCCTACCAGTGGGCTGGAAAGTGAGCATAAGTTCTGCCCTCCTGAACACCCATTAGTTGTGTTCATTGCCTTGAAAATGCAACTGTGTGGAGAGAGAGCTGGAGAAGAGGGTTGTGTGACACAGAGATCCCTCTTATCTGAGCCCTTGCAGTTCTCACACACTTCTTTTTAAGGAAGAAACATTCTTCCTGTGTCCATTTAAGAAAGGGGTAAGAGAAACTGGTGATCTGCACTGTCTTGGGATGAAAAGAGCTGGAGGGGCCAGGAAGAGGGTTTGTGGGTCTGGTGTAACACCAGACAGTCAGCAGCCTTCCCTGGCTCTGTGCCTTGTGACCAGCTCTTTCACAATGTCCTGGGTGGCCCCTCCGTGAGGGTGTCGGCTGTGCCCCTTCCTTTCCTCTGGTGTGAACCACAGGCAGACTGGAAAATCCCAGCAAAGATCTGCCTTTTTGCATGACCAGAGTGAATGGCTGGTGGTCCCTGTGGGTGTGGAGAACGTTTAGCTTCTGCCATGGCCCTAGTGTGGGAAGGAGCTGCGGATGTCCAGGGAGGTAAGTTGAATGTGTGTCTTTGTGGGCCTCCTGCCATTCATTAAGCCCACCAAAGAGGGGTTCCTCAGCCTCTACTCTGATCAAGGATGCAGCCAGCAACCACAGGGTCTGTGGTGGGGTGGTGTCTAGCTCCCTGCGTTCAGGAGGAACACTGCTTACAAAACCTATAACCTGCAGTGCTAGAAATTAGGCAATGTTATAGCAATTTTATATTTTTGTCTGACTGACTAAATGCCCTGGAGCAACAGGGAGGAGAGGTCTGGAGACCTCTCTCTAGGAATGAGTGTGTGGCAGTGCAATAACCCTGTATTGCCCTGGAGCCCTCTTAGTGCTGTCAGTCTGACCTACCAGGTGCAGAATTGCTTTCCTTCACAATCCCTCAGAGGTCCTGTAAACTGTTCAGCAATGCTTAGAGATGCTAGTCTGGACCCAAACAAAGCTGCTTTGGGCTAAGGACTTCAGCGAGCAGCATCCTGATAAAAGTGTTATTTGTGGGGTTTGCAGAGTCTGTAAGTCGTCTGCCACCACCATCCCAGCAGTATGTCCAGGATTCCAGGGAGCTTGCTGGCAGGAGCTGCAGTGCTGTCCCCAGTGATGGAGCAGCTTGTCCCCCTCCCCCTGTACATACCTTCCTTTCATGCCCCTGAGCGAGCCGAGCCGTCCTCCCGCAGCCCCTTGCCTAACCAGTTCAGTGGAATGCCTTTTGCCCAGACAGTCGCCGTGGTCAGAGTTTTCTTAACCTGGATCCATCCCTCCCCATAAAAGGCAGAGAGAATTCCTTGTCCTTTTTTTTTTTTACTTTTCGATATTTATTTGTTCTTCCTCGTCTTCTGCAAATAACTGTGGGGATTTGCTGTGTGTGGCTTGATTAGGCACCGCTGAGCTCCCTGTGGGGTGGGTTTTTGCCTTGGAGATGGTGGTGTAGTACAGGAGGTTGTCCTTTTGAGTTTGGGTGCTCAGCTTCATGGGCTGTGGGTGTCCCAAGCCTGGTAGCTACAGAAATTTTTGAGGTGCAACATGCATTTCATAGTTTTATAAGTGAGAGCTGAAGCTCTGTGACTGCTGTTCTCCTCTATACATAGAGGTGAAGATAACTGTTGGCTCTAGGATAGACAGGATGCATCCCATGGAGGACATGGAGGTGTCAAGGTTCTCAGCCTCAGCCCTCTTACCAATGACACATCTCAGAGCTGGTGTTTGATGATTCCCAGTGGAAACAAGAAACCTTTCCCATATTTAGCTTGCTGTAGGCGCATGAAGGAGCCACCCAAGCCACTTTGTACAAGATCCCCTCCCCTGCTGCAGCCCAGTGGGCTGTAGAGGAGCTACTCTGACCCAAGGTAGCTGCTGGCTCTCTTCTGCATGCTCTCAGCCTTGGTACTGTGTAAATCAGTTCAGTAATTCATACTTGGCAGCTATGCACTGAATTCCTGGGTCCCCATCACCTGGGAGCTGTGGTCAGGATCAGATGTGCAACATTACGAAGGGCAGACACAAAAAAATCCAACTTACTGCCCAGAAGGATGTCTGTGGTGTCCTATCCAAGACTTTAATATTAAAGCACAGGCTCTAAACTGTGTTAGCTTTTAATTGCTTCCTTAAAAGTGTTTGTGTGGTTCAGGAGGACTCCACTTGCTGCACGGTAATGGCTGAAGAAGCAGATGAATGCTGGTTAAGGGGCGGCGAGACTGTGGGACAGGCTGGACGTCCCTGTGTATCCACAGCAGGGCAGGGAGAGTGCCTTGGTGCAGGGACTGACTAATACATGGTGTGTATTTC